AAATTGTTCAGATTTCCTTTATCCTAAGATAAAGAATGGCTTTGGATACTTCTGAAGCTCTAGATCTTGGGAATATTGGTAGTGACGTTAGAGGGGGCAGAATTTGAATTCCCTTGTGGAAGTAGCCTCAGATAGGGGTCCATCACTGACTTAGCTACAAAACTGCAGAATTACCCTATGTCTGCTGATGCTGCTTAAGCAGCACTGGAAAAATAGTGTATCTGTTGAAATAATGTATCTGGAAGGAATTCTTTTGGGTCCATTGAGTCATTGCCCAGTTGGGCAGTCAGGGAAGACCTCACTGCTGTTATTTCTATTTGAAAGGAGGTTGTAGTAAAATGGGACTCATTCTCTTCTGCCATGACTCAGATGAAAGCATGGAAAGAAATAGCCTTAAGTTGCACCCAAAAACTGAAAGAGCAGTTAGGCATTGGAATAAGTTGCCCATAGAGGTGTTGGAGTCACTATCTATGGAAATAATCAAGAAGTGTATGGATATGGCACCTGGGGATGTGATTTAGGCATGATTACTGTGGTGCTGAATTAATGATTTTGAAGGTCTTTTTCAACCTTGTTGTTTCTGTGCTACACCAAAATTTTCACACAGTCTCTTCTAATATATCACCTTCCTCAGAACTGAAGACGTGAGAGGTCAGCGTGGGAATTGCTTTTCAGAGACCTCCTTGTTTTGCTGTGAGACCCTGCTGATTTGCAAGTCCATTGGACACTCAGATGGACCTGGCAATATTGCTTTTATGACAATCTTTTAACTCTTCTCTCCCAAAGACAGGGATTCAGAGTGCCTGGACACCCTAACACAGCCTTGCTGGGTCATGCAATGAAACTCAAAAACTGGATTTCACCTCCTTCATTCAGCACAGCTACCACAGGTCATCGACTTGCAAAAAAGGGCTGTTGAGGAAAGACAAAATGAGCTCATGGCAATGCCATGTCTCAGAAATTACTGTATGACTATTTTCTTGGTTGCTAAAACAAGGCACAAAGCCTCCGAAGAAAATATTTATTAAGCCACAGATGGCAAAGCTGAGCCTCTGATTTCCCTAAATCCTTAAGAGGATTGTGATACAGCTTATAGGAGCATCTTAGTGGCTGGATGCTCTGCTTCTTATTAGATATGTCATCCATCTATACACCCACAGTGACTTGAGGAGAGACAGTGTTTGCATTCCAGCTTTGCTAATTGCACACCTTAAATCAGGGTAACAGATAACTACTTTTTCTTTGTTTTTTGTGTGCATGCAGTGCTGGGCTTCTGAGTACAATGCAGCAATCCCATTTTGTATGTCTGATTTTAGATATGCTGTATCTATCTTCTTGATTTTAGTTACAAAACTGGGAGAAAGCTGTAACAGAAAGGTGAATGATCAGGGTAGTCATACCTTTGTTTTGAACAAAGCATAGAAAAGCACAGGAAAAGTGCAGATAAGTACAGAAAAATAAAGGAAAAGATGTAATTACTTTTATTGATGTGTCTTTTTTTGAGATGCTGTTTTACTTGCTCCTTTGTTGTTCCCTATGTTCCCTGAAATGCCTGGCTCTTGTTCTCCTGCTCTTACTCATCTTTATTTCCTCATATTTTACAGTTGAAGAGAGATGAGAACTGAAAATGTGTTTGGAAGAGATCACAGTAATCTGTGTCCAGTCTTGGCACAGGCTATTTACAATTCCTGTCTCAGTTGTCTTCATTACATTGTCTTACACACTGCTGGGATTCTCCTGGTTCCTAGTGCTGCTGGTGATGGTGGTTTCTCAGCAAAATATGCTCAGTCCAGACAGCTGACAGTATACCATAATTCTGTTGAAAGTTCCCTCATTCAGGTAATTATTTTTCTAGAAAATCCAGAGCAGTTTTTCTGGTAAAGAATGTGAAGAGATGACAGTAAATGCGATTTTTAAGGGGAAAGCCAGGGCCATAGATTTTCTTGATTGTCCATTTCTAGATGAGGGTAACTTGCACATTTCCTGAATGACAGAAAACATGAGCCAAAGTATGGGGGTGCAGGAGAGATGTACAGCAGTCCTGTGATGCCACCTAAGTGAGCAGAAACAAATCTCCTCTGCTGCTGGACCACATTTCTCAGGTTAGTCTCAGTGCAGATCTTGTTTCCCATCCATATCTTGCTGAGAGAGAGTTTTTGGGCTAAGTGCTGCGTGGAAAAAGGCTTGGAAGTTTGGCCATATTAGCCATCTTGCCTTACTTAGTTTCTTCTTTAGTAGCTTTAGGGAAATGAAACTTTGTATATTGCTTGACAAGATTAATTGGATTTTAAGAAAGTAACAGTTGAGTTTACATTAATGTTATCTTCCTGTCAAATTAAGAGATTCCAAAGTGCTGCAGCACCCAGATCCAAGGAAGAGAGTCATTTTGTAAGCACTCATGCACTAGATTTTGACAAGTTGCAGTTAATTTTTGAACTTCACTTTTTGCAACAGATTCTCAGAAGAATTTTTGTGATATCCACTGAAAATTACAAGCAGCACATTATAGTGGCTGTGCTCTTGTTTCTTCTGTATTCTGGGGACATTAAAAAACTAAACTAAATGCAAAGACTTAGCATAGTATGGTTGTTGTGCTCCAGAAGAGACCTAGGGACAGTCCAGCATGGATGCAGGGTGAATGGTAAGGAAAATAAGGTCTTGGGTTGCAATGGGAGAGAAGTGAGCAGCATAAATATAAATGGAGAATTCACTGAGTATATTCAGTTTTCAACTGCCACATTAATAAACCAAACAGTAACAGCGACTGTGAAATGTAATCATAAATATCTGAAATAAAGTCAGCTAGGATAAAAAATCAGATATGCTGTAAAGTATATGGAACTGTGATTTTTCCACTCCATTATGGAGTGGAAACCTACCAAATTTGTTACTATGACAGAGGAAACATTAGAACAAATAATAGTTTTTCCTTACTGACTTACCAGGCTTCCTAATTCATGCAAAACACAATAATATAAAGGGAAGATTTTTGAGTTTTGAATTTAAGAATACATTTAGTTTTTTTTAAATTTCAGAAAATCCACTGGAAAGTGGCTCTAACTGTCCAGCCTTGAGTATTAGCTGAAATACATTGACTGTCAGGAGAAAAAAGAAAGCACTGCTTATTTTTGAATAGCAAAAGAATGTTATGGTTTCTGGTTAGCTCTGAACAAGCCATCAAGGATGAGTTTTTCCTTAGTAGCATGACTGATTATGTCAGAGCAAATACCCTGTGCAGGACAGAGATCATGTGTGATACATAGAACCATGCAATTACCTCGGGGTCCTGCTCTGCCGACCTGGGCCACTTGTCCAGCTGAAGGGCAGGACTGCTAAAGCTGTGGAATTTTTAAAGCTTGGCTGGATTCTGATTGCAAACCTGTTCTGTTGGGTAATTTGCACTGTAGAAAAACCTGTGAATATTTATTGGTGATTGCAAAGTTCTGCAATCTGTAGGAGGATTCCTAAATTACTGCTTTTCAACCTCATTCCTTTTCTGTAGGGTAGTTTGGGGGCAGCTGTGTTCCAGAAGAGTCAGGTGAAACTGGAGTGCACGCAGGGAAGGTTTTGTGTCTGGCAAAGGTGTCTTTGGGGTTTGCTCAAGACTTTCCTCCCTAATTAAATGGGTGTCTTCCTTGACTTTGATCTTATGAGTCATTCATCTAGAAACTACTTACATTCTGCAAGACATCCCTGAATAAGTCTCTCAATTTATTTATATCTCTAAGATGATTTAACACTAAGTTAATGATTTAGGGACCTATCTGATTCCCAGGAAAGCCAGTCAGAGGCTGTCCCCATCTAACCAACTGGGTACAATACCTACTTACATTTAAATACCGTTTGCATTTCTACAAAAGAATTTATATTGCTTGCTGATACCCTGGATGCAGAGCTTTTTATAGATTACTACCCCATAAATTGTTAATCCTTACTTTTTAAGTTATCTTTCATTAGAAATGGAACAAAAACCAAAGTTACAAGTACAGACCTGAACCCTTCACATTTTGAGATGTTCCAGATTCGGGTACCTTGAACATAAACTTCATTCTTTGGATTTAGACTAAACAGAAAATAAGCCTATTTTCAGGTTCCAATTTGAACATATGGTAAATTCTTAGGAAATTATTTGGCCTGATGGGTTTGTGACACTGGAAGAAGGTTGAAATCAGAAAAGGTAATTTCCTTGCTCTCTACTGAAAAGCAGTAAAAATGATTTGTTGCTGATATTTTAGGGAGATTTGTTTCTAGAGACAGCAGGGAAAAGCTAATTCAGCTAGAAAGTCTTCCTGTTTTCCAGGACAAATCTGTCTGTTTTTCCTGTTACATTGTCATTGCCTTCTGCAGATGGGGAATTAGTAGCCAAGGAGCTGCTGAGAAATTCTGTGTTAGATTTTAGAAATCTAAGGCATGGAAAATTCATTCTTGACTTGGGAGCTGCTGGTTTATACAACCTCTGGTGGCACATGCCTGCTTCATGAGAGGATCTGCTAAGATGCTTTGGGAAATTCAGGAGCTGAGCAGCAGCACTCTGGCTGTGGGTGTCACTGAAGCATCCAGTTCCTCAGGAGCTGCCTCTCAGGAGGGAGCTGAGCTGGGCTCTGGGTGAGCACCAGGACAGCAGAGATAATAAATAATTAGAGAAAGGCGTGGGGGGGAATGTCTCGCTCGCACCGAGGACAGCACGGAGCCTCACCACCCACGAGGCATCACTGGGATGATGACTTAATTGAAAAGAGTTGCTCAAGCATGTACCAGGCCTGGCACAGAGTTAGAAACTTCTGCTTGAGGTAATGTTTTAACAAGTTGTTTTCTTTTTTCTGTTGTCACCTGAACCAGAAGATTCAGGTGCCTGCTTATTGCGTCGCTACACCTCGGGTTATGCACCAAGCCTGGTTTTTTTTCTTTCCTTTGTTTTGTTTCCTAACTGGTTGCATTCATGTGCTCAGGCCTCTTCAGCATTTCAGATCCCAAGTGAAACAAGAAATGGGAGGATGCAGAACAAAGCCACCATAAGTACACAGGTGAGAGGTGGAGTGTTCTACTTCATTCCAGAGAACGGGAATCATATCTGGTCAGTCAAGCTTTTATTCCAGCTCCAACTTTTATAGAAAAAATTTACAGAAAAAATAAACATTCAAACTTAGACTCCTAAATCTAAATTATGTGGGCTGATTTATAATAAGAATTTAAAGTCCAGCTCTTTCTTATTGATTGTAATTTAAGGTTAAATGAAAAAAAGCAATATTAATTTCAATTATACACACCAAAGTAAAGAGGAAAAATGACCTACCTTGCCTGACAATTCCTTCCCTTTCCACCCCTGCCTCTCTATCTTTCCTCCAGGAAAGCAAATTGCAGCATATCTGGAAGAATAACTAGATTAAGTTATTTTGGATAAAGAGGAGAAAACCAATTCCTGTATCAAGTCTCTTCAAACAACACTGAAGTTCCTAAGTATTGAATGGGCTGTAACTTGAGTGTTTTGGGTGATGTGCACTGTGGCTCTCTCTGGTGATCTGGGTGCTTGCAGACAGAAAAAAAAAATTACTCTTCTGCAGCTACTCTCTTGCTGGTCTGGTGTGGTCTGGCTTTGCACAAGGACTGGTGACTGAGGAGAGGGCTGGTGATTTTGTACCACCTTCACTTTCTGGGGGACTTCAGATCAGACTCCTGACAGCTCATGACTTGTGAAGTCCACAGGGAAGAGAATATTTTATGTCATTGTTTGTGGAGGCAAGTGAATAAAAGTTGTGGGAAACAGTCCAAAAGAAATTGGGGATCGTAATCAGATTCCCTGAGTTGTGAAATGAGGTGGCAACCAGGCTCCAATATCTCTGTTCACAATCTGTGCCACTTCCAGACCTGCTCTTACACACTCAGGTGCTGATCCAGGTGATCCGAGCCCCTGGAGTGTTGCTGTGTTTTCTGTGTGGGGAAAGAGAAGAAAAAGTTCAAAGCAAATATCCTGTTGTCCCTCATCCACAGCTTGTCCAGAATGAACTCCCAGATTTGTTTCTTTATGAAAGCACCCAACAGTGTTTAATTTCAATGACCTGGCAGCCTAATGCCCACCAGGCTGGCTCCCAGGTAGAGGTTAACATCAGCCTAACCCCCTCAGCCCTAATCACTTTTGGGAAAGTTAAGCTCTGCTGAAGGTTTCTGGTGTCTGCAGCCATCCAATAAACCCCACTAAGCACAGGGACTGCAGGGGTCTGTTTGCAGCCCCTTGTGTGTTAAAGCTGCAAAATTTCTGGGCACAGTCCAGTTGGATGTAAACAGCATTCCTCTACTGGGGTGCCAAACGATACCTTCCTCCCTGCTGGGCCTCAAGATGTAGCCAAAACTTGTTTACTCTGTAATTTAGAGTTCATTGTAATCTAAATAGGGATTTTTGCAATGCAAATAGGGCTGTGCAGAATGTAATACATTTTATTTATCACTACTGTTAATTATGACTATATAGCTTATCACTCATCACATAGCTTGGATTGCAAAACACAATGTTTCAAACACACTTTAACTCTCAGATCATGATCAGTAAAGCGAATATATTATACTTTTAATATGCACTTTCCCCCACAGTATTTTACAATAGCCTGCATAAACTCCTTTTTACAGAAAAGGTTTCCAAGAAATGAAAAAAAGAAATATCTTGACTCATGTGTAAAGGTAGTTTCTGATTGCATAAAATGGGCAAAAAAAGTGTCCTTTTATTTGGCTTCCTGGAGTGTCCAGTTGTCCTGGCTGTTACACATGTATGAGGGAGTCTGCTATTAACCCCAAAATTCTGAGTATTAGAAGATGAGCCGATAATGATCTAATGCTAAGATAAATAATTGCAGTTGAGCATGTCTAGAACAGTTTGATGGACTCAGTGCTCTTTAAAGGTGCTGAAACTAGAAGTGGAGTGCAGAGGCTAAGGAACAATATTCAGTGAAGGAAAAGTCTCCTCTCTCCTTGGCCTGTAGGAGGTGATCTAGGTTTGCTTCCTCTCTAATTTACACCTGTCATAAACTAATAATCATGCTCAATAAAAAATGAAATTAAAATACTGCCCAGTGAAGAGGGATGAAGTGGTTAATGTTTGTTACGTGCCCTGATGCTGAACCTTGACATTCTGACAACACCCACCATTCTCGAGGTGCCATTGCAGATAAATGATTCCCTCCATCAGAGATAAAGTGCTGCATACTTCACTGTGGTCCATGAGATACCATGACCCTTATGCCTCAAGAAGGCACAAATCTTTTATTAGCTGATTGCTGTTCTAAGTTAATGTAGTTAGGCTAGGTCTAAGAAGCCTGATTCTGTGAGTTTTACTAAACTCTCCAGCTCTTTCTGTACCACACTGCGTTTCAGAGGACAGTACAGCTGGGAGCAGGTCACCCAGAGGGAGCTGGAGCCTCCATCTGTCCAACAAGGCTTTCAGGACCTGGCCAGGCAGAGCCAAGTTTGAGTTACCTTTGGCAATATCCCTGTGCAGGGAGGAAGGTGGATCTGGATGGCAGCTACAGATTTCATCCAGTTTCTGCATCTCCTTTCAGCTCCCCAACCCCTGTAAGTCCCTGATAAGTGCTGGGGTGTTGTATGTCTCACACAGCACTCATCACCCTCTTATTGGAGGTGATGGTTGGTCCTGCAAGGACTGCAAAAGTGGGGATGTGGCAGGAGATCCCAGTGCCTCAGGCATCTGTCTAAGTTCCATCCAGCCCATGCACCTGGATTCCTTCCCACAATAAATGAGCAGGAGGGTTAAGTTGTGATGTGCTGCTGGATTTTGGGCTAAAATGGTATTGAGGGTATGGCTGGAGAAGATGAGTAGATTGAGTGGATGCTATATCTTCTATGCCCCAGTTCCTAAAAGTGCTGCTGATTTTAGTTGAATTTTGCCACAATAAATTCTTTTTCATCAATAAATGTATTGGTGAGACTGGCCACCATAAGTGAGTGCAGTGCTGGAGGGAGATGCAGAAATCAATGCAGATATTTGGCAAACTGGAATATCTGACAGTGTTGGAATTAACAAAGCTGGTTTAGCATTTCCCCTGCCAGTATCCACTCCTGTAAATAGGAATTTATTTTTTGTTGATGTAATTGCAATCAGCAAAATGTTTTGTAGAGCAAGAAGTTCTCTTTACAGTTCTCTGATACCTGAAATTCAGAGTGGACGTGACATATTGTTCTGCTTTGAGTTTCATTTAATTTGAGCATTATGATAATGCTGAAATAACAGGAGAGTGGTAGCAAGTACTCTACATTTGAATATATTATCTTAGGTCTCACCAGCTGCAGAAGTTGCATTTACATAGACAGATGGTAGTGTAAGAGCCACCACTACTGACTGTTCCACAATGTTAAGTAGTTTTTCAGTCTGTGTAAGAGGCAGTGCTTGTGTTTGGAGTACTAGCAGCAACCTGTTTTGTTTATTCTTATATAATCAAAAACCCCAATAACTCCAAAAACAGCAGTCACTGTGGAGTAGCTAGTGTAAAGATGGAAGCAGTAAAACTGTCATGTTTGAAAATGCTGTTTGGGAGCTTCCACAATTTATTTTCTGAATGATTAGGGAGGCTGTCACAATGTGAAAGACTTGGAAGTAAGCTGTCCAACGTTTGAAGGTACATGGCTTGTCACAAGAGCAGTTACACTGCAGCTAAATCCTTGGTGAGGTAAACAGCTGTCAGCTCTCAATTAAATAAGGATCACTCCATGGCTTTGCCCTGCCTCTGAGATAAGAGAGCATTGTTGTTTCCATGCCAGAGCATCTACCTGTGCACAGAGCTGCTCAGCAGATTGCTGGTACCACTTGTTTCCAATGCACAAAGTGCTGAATATTGCCAGGAAAGAAAAAGCCTGACACTTCTTCCTCTGCCTGAGGTGCATGCTGTACAAGGGTCAGGAAAATCCCTCCTGGCTGAAGTGCAGGGACCAGCCCAGCTCACACACCCTGGCCCAGGTGTGTCGGGCACTGATGGTGCCTCTGTCTCAGGGATACTACTGGTCATGGCAGCACCAAGCAGCACTTTCATGCTCGTGTTTGAAAAGGGATTGCCTTGTTTTGCTCTGTGCTTTGCCTTCTTGCTATGTAATGTACCTAATGTAGTCATGAATATAAAAAAAATATATGCTACCATGTACATGTGCACAGAGTAGTCTGGATTAAAGCAAATTGAACAAGCTTTACAGTATTTTCTCCAAGAAACCAATTAAAAAGATGTGCTTTCCATCACAAACGTTATCAACCCAAAAATCTTACTTTATATTCCCAGGACCGATCATTAATAGTATTTCAATGAAAATTTGATTATAGTAATCCTAACGTGTTTAGTGCAAGCCCTGCAGAGCCTTTTATTTTTTTGTAACTGGATGAAAATAATACCATCGTCAAAGAAGTTTTAAAAAAATGTATTTGATATTGAGATAATTTAAACTAATTTCAGCAGAGACTACATACTACGGGCAAATGTTTTCTATAAAGCTGCTCTTTCTGAACACCAGCATTTATGAAAGTCACATCCACTAAATCTGTGGGTCTGTCTCGTGAATGTTTTATCTAATTCCAGTGTTGCTAGCACGTCAGAGGGTTGTGCTTTTTGGGATGTTTCCAGTTGTCTGGTAGAAATCCAATTGCTTATTCATGGATAAAATCTGATTGAGATGGAAGATACTGCAATGAGTGGAATTACCTTTTGGCTTTGATGAGCTGGTCTAAAACTGGAGAGAGAAGCAAAATTCTATTATATATAATTTTTTTTCTCTCCAGTTTTATTTATTTAATTTCCCTCCCCTCCATCCTTGCAGTTTCCTCTGGGCAATTGGCAAATCCATGAATGCCGTTAATGTTTCTCCTTGGCTGAACTTTAAATGTGTATTTCTGAACATAACCTCCCTATCTTGCACCTCCCTGAAATGCCCTGATCCTGTTGGCTCAAGGATTGTACTTGTTCTTGGAATATCCCAAAGGAAATCCCATCACTTTTCTCCCATTTACATGACCTAATGATTGTTTTAAAGTGCCTGATTTTGCAGCTTCTTTCTTTTAACGTCCGAGTTTTGAAGTTTATGTATTATATTGGACTTTGGAGAACATTAGGTCAGTTCACTTCTTTTAGCCCAGGCATGAAAAGCTTTGCTGGAAATTATGTGGTGTCTATGTAAATATTGAGATATAGTTGAACAGTGGACATTTGCCTTAAAGACAGGATACAAACAATGAAAATATACCAACCTTTAGCCCACAGCCATTATCTGTGGTACCTTAGTAATAGATGTAATACCTTGTGCAGAGTTCAAGGCATTCACATGTAAAGACTGAGGGATTTTCTTTTCCCACAGAGTTAAAAAGAGAATGTCATAACTAAAGACAATATTATTTAAATTGTGTTGTGAATAACCTGAACAAATGCATAAAGCCCCCATGCATGCTAGTCAATATAGAATATTTTTATCTGCCATTGCAGTCTATACCATTTTTGTATTAACCATCTTCAGCAAAAATATGCCAGACCATTTGGGCCTTAGGATAATGATGTTGTGATTTATTGCACTCTGCATTTCCATCCTGCAGCAATTACCAGAAGAGCTGATAATGGTCTGCAATTTGTTTTCCAGAACTGGGAATTGCTGCCAGCAAGAGCTGCTCTGAGGGAAAGGCAGTGGCTGTTTACCTGCCCTGTTGAGCCACTCCAGGGAGGACAGGTCAGTGAAACCCTTGGGAATGCCCAGCAAAGTGCCAGCCTGGTGAACTGAGAACAGCTGTTTCTTATGAGATGCTGCAGTGGGACCCAACAGTATAAAAACTGACTTTTTATTAAGTTTATATTAAAAAAAATATGAGACCTGATGAAGAGAATGGGTATCCGTTTTTCTACCCTCCAGTTCACTCACATCAATTTAAGACGTGTCCTCAATTGCAAGAATCAAGTGACACCACCCTCTTTTTAAAGAGCTCACAGCTCTAGCTATTGGTGGAGGTTCCTTATATTGGAATTTACTGTAAGCACTTGTCATAGCTCTATGAAATCTTTATAATCCATGGGGTCAGAAGTGTTTCCTGTTTTGAACTGGTTTCTTGGTGACCTTGATGTCAATGTATTAAGGCTCCACACACATTTTTCAGGACTTGATCCTGCCCAGTTTGTCAGCTGACAAGAGATGAGACCCTGCGAATCTCAGTACAAAGGACAAATATTCACCTTCAAATATAAGATGATTTCATACTTATTGAAAGTTTTTGGGTTTCCATTACTATCAGCAAGGTTGGTTTAGTTCTCTTTAATAGGAAAGGGATTGTAGGCTACAGAAAAGTAGTTTGAAAGGTGTCACAGTCTAGGTCTTGGTAAATTTACAGAGCACTTAATGAACTGAGAACATAAAGTGATACACAAATATTTTGCCGACTGAGAAAAAGCTTTTTGGCTTCTCTAAAGAAAAAATATTTGTCTATATGTTGTCACTGGAGAATTAAGCTGATTTTTTATTAAAAACTATATTTGGTTTAGCCTGTATTCTGTCTCATCATCTGCTGTTTCTCCTTGTGTGTTTAGACTCTGCTCTGCTGTATTCAGTACCTGGTATTTTTCATGAGCAGTCATATAGGTAGCAGTCTGCTACTGGGGCATAATAGATACTGATTTGATTTTGACTTCTTTAGGCTTGGTATTCAAAATTTTAAAATGATAAAATGTACTTGTACTGTGCTTTATTTAAGGGGGAACAATTAACTGGTTTGCCTTCCTCACAATAAGTACTTTCCTGAAACATGGCTGGAAAGAAAGAAGGAATCCTATTGGCATTCTCATTGGTGAAAGTCAGAACATAAGGGTCAGGATCACATCCAGTAACAGAACTAAATCCAGTCCTGTGTCAAGATGATGTCAGGGGATCGCAGATGCCAAGCACAGGTAAGAAAGGACTCTGCATTACCACTACTTTCTTCTCTCTGCTTTATTTCACACTCCTGTTTGTGAGAATTCTCCACTGCATTCTCCAAAGTCAGTGGGATTCCCAACAAGCTTTCAGCAAGAACGGGAATAACAATGGCTGCAGGCACATAAATGCACTTTCACTTTGGCAAGTATACATGAGTATTTTCCCACCATTCTTCTCCCCATTAGGAGCAACAGCTCTTTTTTTTAACCTTTTTTATTTTTTTTGTCCCCATCTCATTTTGCTTCAACACTTCTGAAGGGTTATACTGAAGTCACTCTTCAGTGAGTAACCAAAATAATCAGGTATTAATTACAGCTAAAGAACAAGGTCCAAAGTGTGACTCATTATAATTCTTCAGTTCATCTAGAGTAAATAGGACCTTATCTGTGGGGCTGCCTAGGTTTTTTACCTCAGTGATATGTGGAAACTATAGCTCAGGATCTTGGAGGAAACTTTGAACCCACTACACCAGTTTGAACAGGTCTGCGGCCTTTGGCTTTTTAATCTTTGCCTTGTTCACTGTTAGATTTGAATGATTGCCAAGTCCTGTAAAAGCCTGGAAATCGGATATTAATCTTGAAACTCTTATTTAGATTCTTTTCCCAAGGAAGATGTTGCACAATAAACATTGCCTATCCATTTGGCCATGAGAGAGTGTTTTCTACTTTTGGTCCAACTCTTATTCTCATTGATAATGGAAGAAACTCAGCACTTTGCTACACAGTAACATGAAGATGCCATTATTTAAATGACTGTATGGATATTTTCATTAATAATATCGCTTTGCACTCATGTTAAACCTTTTCAGTAAAAGGTTTTGCAAATGATAATTCACAAAGCAAATACTTTTATTTGTGTGTCTTCACAGAATAATTTGCATTTGAGATTGTAATATTTAAGTGCCCCTACTGGTCTAACAGAAAAAATTAACCATTTGTACATTATTTTAGTCACTATTACATTTCAATAATTGTCTTGATAAAGTAGGGATTTGAATAATAGTTTCATTTTAGTTCTGGATAGACATATATTAATACTTCTATGTTTTCTATGGAAGTACATTGGAATTAGGAGTATTTAATAAAAATTACCTTTTCATGTTGGAAGTTCAGCTTATAATTCACATAATGGTTTTGAAAACTCTACCTTGCATAGCAACCTTTCAGTCTTTTGCCCACATAATTCCTGTTGGTTTAGGAACTCCAGCCAGTGCTCAGTAAATATGAAACCTAGACAAATAGACCAAATTAGTAATACAAGTGGTTATTCCCATGTATGTATGCAAATATAAATAATACTTAGTATTTATTGCTGGTAGTGTTTTTTAGCTTTGGCTGTAGTGTGTGAAGACAGTGGGTAGAAGAACCATACATTGGTTATTTCACTAAATTTCCTTTTTGTGCGTTTATTTGATAAAAAAGTGGTGCAGTATCCAGGGCTTTTCAAGGACTTCATAAGGCCTTGAACTTTCTCCTACTCTAAGGACAATAACATAATTTTTTCTTTCTGGAGGTTTTAAGATCTGAAGTGAGCTGTTGCTGATTTCAGTACATTGAGATTGGGACCAAGGCAGACCCTCATCATCTCTATGAGGAGGCCATGCAGAAAACCCAAGGTAACTCATAACTTGGGTGAGGAGACCAAAAGGAAAGAGTTCATCAAGGAAGCCTATATATTTCTTAAAGGTGGCATCTCCATGAAATGCTAGTCAGGTAAGTCCAGGACAGTTAGGATTTGTCATTTGATTTCTTGGACCTGTGCTGATTCACCCCCATTTTGGTTTGACCCTCTGCTCCTGACTTGCTTATGAAGAACAAACTCTTTCTGCAAGTCTAATAATGTGGCTGAAACTGGTAATTACTATACATACTTCTAGAAGATCTATAATATAATTAGCAGCTGCTTTGAGTTGCAAAATTACAGTAAGAGAAGATTTATGTTCTTCCCTTTAACTGAAGCATGGTTTACTTCGATAAATACAATTCTGAGATAAGAATAAATGCATATTGCATTGGGCAATCTTCCCTGTGACACTGAGATATGTATTACCTCTTTGCTCCAATTATCCAAAATGATGTTGCTTTCCCTTTTTTCCTGCTTTGATTACCTTCTCAAGTGTTCTGTACCACCCTTGCCAAAGGGGTGCAATTATCCCTACAGGTTAAACCTCTTGACTTTGGGTGGAGAGGTTGTGCAAACGTGTTGCCAGTGTGGCGGCTCCGTGAATCAAACTTTCTGCCCTTTCATAACTTGTTTCATTAGTTCCCACCTAAGAGTTTGAATAGGCCTTGGTGGTTTGGGTAGGAAAATGACTGAAGCCAGGGAGCAAGAAAGCTGTGCCTGCCCTGGTCTGCCTGGTCCCTCCCCAGTGCTGTGCTGCCAAGGATTTCTGATTTGCCTCCTTCGATCCTGGATGTTCCAGTGCACAAACAGTGTCCCCCAGATGTAATTGGTAGCCTTTAGATGATCATTTACCACTTCTCTAGAACTTCACTAAGCAGAAGCTGATCTGAAGTAGTGAATGAACTGTGGACAGGGCCTTTTAGGCTTTGAAACTGGAGGCAGGAGTCTTGCTGGCAATAGGTCCAGCTGTTTATATCTCAGAAGCTCAGAGGATTCTCAGTTCTTAAAGGCCAGCTCCACCACTGGGAGTCTTTTCTGACACAACCCTAACAAAAAGATGTGTGAGAATGCCTTCACCAGAACTTCATCCCTTTCAGGCATTGTTTCTTCAGTGGGACCAGTGACTTAAGTTCTTCTGCTTAGGGTTATGATTGCAGAGCTCATTACAAGGGTCTAAACTCTACTGAGGGTCTTTCTTGCTTTCCACTCGTGTGTAATATGGTGAAGATAAATTTATTCCACTGCCTTTCAAGTGCTCTGTGCTCAGAAGGGATTAAGATTTAAACCTTCTACTGTCGCCTCAAAGAAGGTGAACATCAAACTAGCCTTGTGACTGAAAGTCTGACTGAAGCTAATAAGAACCTGTTCTCTTGAAACATCCTTGTTACTGCATGAGGAGCACTTCTGTAACTTGTCAGCCTTCAGTTCCCTTTTGCTGCTGTGGTGCAGTTCACTGATTAGAAACAATACTAGATGCACTTGTGATAAACTCTTTGTTGGGCCTGTGATCTGTGCATGGCTGTGCTCTCCTGAAATGGGGAAGCAGAGACTACGTGCTGTGCAGCACTCCTCACCTCACTGAGGCAACAGCCAAAACACCAAAGAAAAGATCAGGACAATAATAATAATAATAACAATAATAATAATGATAATGATGATAATGATAAAAATAAAATTACGTACTTTGAAAATCTCTTGCGTTACCTTGGCTTAGCCTGAGCGACTTATAGAAAAACTCCCGGTTCCCAAATCTTGAATTGTGAAAGAAACTCCCAAATGGCAAAATTAGAGGCGTAGTTATAATTTATTTAACAGTAGAGTGGTATTTTGGGGGTAAAAGAGGAAATGCTTCAGATTTAAAACATTGAAGTTGCCTGAAGCACAGAGGGAATGAATTGATAATGTGGGACTCTGGGTTTGACTCTTCATGAATCTGTCCCTTGTGCCAGAATTTTAGTCCCAATTCAGAAAAATTTTAACTATTTTTCAGAAAGGGATTAGATATAATGAAAGCTTTTCTGCTGATTTTTATATGATTGAAAAAAACTGAATGATAATAAGATGTAACCAGTGTATTTTCTAGTTGGCTCTTGTACACTGCTTTCCTTATAAACTGCAGGATGATCTGGGACTTCATCCAACTCATGCTGAAGTCTTTCCACTCAAATAGAATTCTTGGTGAAAAAATTAGAGGTGATTCCTCAGTAAATACAATGCATTGTCTGTGATGGGTCTTGCAGTTACTCTTGCATTTATTCCAAAGCCTGCTACAGGATGCTTAGGAGAACAGCACAGTATTACAGGCCTTTGTTTGAATTCTATTCTTTTTATTTTGCAGATTTATTTTTTTTTTTACCATAAAAGAAGGAGGAGGAAATTTATGAAAATGTAGACCTTGTCAACATAGTTCAATTTCTTAACTTGTCATCTTGTCTCAGTTCTGACTGGAAGAGCCTGAAGAAGGCCCTATGGCAAACTTGTCAGCTCTAATCTCCCCTTCTACTCCTAGCGGATATTTTATTAACACTTTTTAAGACTGTTTTTTATTTGTTTTGCAGTCTACATGCTGAGGCAGCAGCCAGTTTGGTTTTCTTCATCTTTCTCTCTTCATGCTCTCTGCTGCCTGAGAGTGAGGTTGGCTCTTCTGCCATCAGAGTCCACAAATCACAGCAAAAGGGATTGTTGCAGTTTTCATAAATGTGGTGTTACTTGAAAATTATAGACTGCAACTGCTTATTGCAGTTCTGTGCAATGGCTGTAAATTGGGCCCTGTATCTTTCTGGTGACAGTCATTCCCGCAACAGGCCTTTTAGGAAATTGGAAGGGAAATTAAACAAGAGCAAGGGGTAGCCTTCCTTTTATCTTTGACATGCCTTCCTGAAACCCTTATCTATCATATTCAGGCAGAGATGCTGCTGAAATGGTGGTGGATTTAGATGTTGTCCATCTCTGAAGGTACAGACTGCTGATCCTGCATGCTCTTTGAAGCACATCTGTTGACGGGGTCTAGATACACATAAAATATTATGAATGATGGACCATGATGACATGGCACCAATGGAATATATTATTTCTGCATTTTCACTGTCCATTCATGTAAAAATCAGCTTTCTCAAAGCCCTTTAAAAGGGTTTAGCTGAACACACTGTGGCCATAGGTAGGGAACTGTTTGCAGGGAAGATTGAGTGGTCAGTAAAGAAAGGCTACATAGTGACTTTATTTCTCTTTCCCAGGAGATAAAATGAGTGCAGTGAGTGTTCTGTTGTCCTCTTTTTCTTTTTGGCTATCTGGACTGTGAATTGAGGCATGCAGGAGTAAACAAGCTTACCTGTTTGGTTGCTCATTCCTTGCAGGATGTGTGTGGAGGTGTGGACAGCTCATCCACTGGCCTAGCTGCCTGAGCCAGCACAAAGGATGGTAGGTAGTGCATAGAAAATGAATATAATCCACTGTTACATATTCATATATGTTATATATAATCTAATAACTATATAATACCATACAAGGGAAGAAGCTGTAAATGCAAGGTGGTTTCTGAGACTCAAAGCCTTCTTGAGGTGATGCACATTACTCACTGCCCTGTGTGCTGGGATGTGCCTGGTCCTAATCCAGCCCCAAATCCTGGCCTTCCTTCAGGTTTGGTTTGATGCGAAGGGCTCCTCACCTAACCTTACCTTTCTCTTCACCACTGAGCTTGCCTGAAATGAACTCTGTGTTGACACTTGTGCAGGCAAAAAGTCTATGTCTGGAAAGAAAAGACCTTTTTATATCTGTTCTGCAGTAGAAGAGCGCACGTTAATTGTGGCTATGGCAGATCCTCTAGGCCCACACCTCTGACACGCCCAATATAAAGAGAGTTTAAACAAGCACTTACCCTTAAGGGTGGGAGGGATGCTCGGTTTTATCACCTCACCACACCCCAGTCCTGGTTCCTGCAGGCTCTGTTGGAACAGCCAGCTTGGTTCCCCGTGTGCAGGAAGTGCTGAGGTTTGTGTCCCTCAGCAGTCACCCGCGCCAGGGCACTCTGTGCTTCAACACAAGGGTCAGGTACAAAACCACCTTTTTGCACGGGCTGGGGGGAATCACTCAGTGCTAGGAAATGATGGATTTAACAGCCTCACACATCTCAAACCAAACGAGAAACCCGACCTCACGACACCTGTGCCTCTGCAGGGCTGCTGGTGCCAGTGGAGCAGTGAACCTGAAGCCAGCGGGACGAACCCCAGCCGTGCCCAGTGGGAGCTGGCGCCAGTCCATGGCTGCTCCCACCCCTGTGCCAGGGCAAAGCCTGGATTGCTCCCTGTGCCATGTTTAAAGGAGCACGGGCAAATTATGAGGCAGTTAAACCCAGTGATCTCCTTATCTTTGCTGTTAGTATTGCTTTCGATTATTCTGAAGGATAGATGGCAAGAAACCAGATTTGCTTCTGATGTGTAATACCACGTGTTTACTTTGCACTAAGCCCAAACAAGGAAAAACCTACAACTCTCTTTCACTTTTGTTCCCTATTTGTTTTCATGTGTGAACACAGTGCTTCAATGTTCAGGCTGTAGATGATGCCAAGGAAAATTGAAGTCCAAACCAAGAAGCTGCTTTCACTGGAATTTAGAAAAACAAATACAGAGAGCTTTCTATTGCTCATTTTATTTCATGTTCAATAAATTTAAATTTTGGGTCAACTCAACCTGACAGTGTTTATCTAAATAGAAATGCAATGGGTATGGGAATGAGAGCTGGTCCTTAAAATCAGAGGAGGAGGAGACTTGGATTATTGTTTGGCTAGGATGAAGGCAAGCATCTAAAGCAAGAAGATTTGAAGACCTTGCCATGTTCCACTGGAGTGGGTATAAATTTTATTAATACCATTGAAGCAAGTAGAATCAGACTCTAAATTAGTGATTCTGCATTACTTAATAACTCTTACTCAAGTCTAGTGCTTCTGGCTAACTTCAGATTTTAGCTGGAGAGCTAACTGGAGGGGTTATTTGGAGTTGCCTTAAACCTATAGGCTACTAAATGATTTACTGGATATTTAGATACCTATAATCCTGGAATTAGACCTACTGGGATATAAATCCCTGAAGCTCACAAGCAGTTAAATAATGACTAAACGGAAAAAGAAAAACCCATCTAATCCTTTCCATGCTAAGGTATATAATAGCACAAAATTTGCAAAAATCCATCTTCCACACCAAATAGAGTGATTACAAATGAAGGCAAGAACATTATCCAAAAATATTGGAAGCTGGAGAAGTACTGTGATCAAATAGGACAACAAACAATTCCTGAAAGGAAGGGAAACAACATAGATATTTATGTATGTGTTTTACAGGGTCTGCACTGACACCGAGTTCCTTCTGTACATGCTTTTACCAAAGCCAACTGAATCCCATACATTTATTGCAGTTTTCCTTTTTCTTTGCCAGGAGGGCATATCCAAAGCTCTCATAAGGAGACTGAAACTATGGGCTGGATTTGCTCAGATCTGTGAAACATTTTCTGCAATACTGAGAGCAAATATGGACTGGATTGCCAAAATGGAATTTTACCAGCCTGCCTTCAAAGCCTACTGTAGAAAGGAGAAAATTACCTTAGGAGAACCAGGCCCTGTGAGCATCCTTGCTTTGTGTTTTCCATTCCCTATGGATTGGTAATACATAATACAGTTCTCATTACAGACAGCCAAACTCAAGAGCAACATCCACAACTCTGGTTGCATTGTGCCAGAAAAAATGGTTTTGAAGGACCTCAGCTTGATTCAGTGCTAATCCAAAATATGGTACAATGCTGAAGAAATGAGGAAAGTAAGTTTAAGGCTATAGAATGGTGCTTTGCACAGCTATTGCTGGAAGGGGCCAGGGGTGTTCATTGATGGAGTTGTGAGGCTGTGAGCATGGCAGCATCTCCTGAATCGAGGGTTGCTGAATGCACTGCAGGGGTCCTGTGGGAAAGGGAGTTTCACTCTTCCATCCCCATTCCCAAAGTGTTCCTGGAGGAGCCAGCTGCTGAACTGACTGTGGTGCTTCCAGCACCTTGTCTGGTTATTTTGAAATTGATTTTGTAAATATTTCATGTGTGCCATGTGGGCTGATGAGGACAAGGTGAACTCTGAGAAGAATTGATTCTAACCTTGCTCTTCTACAGAACCTCATCACCTTAATATTGCAGAAGTTCATCTGTGTCCTGCAGTGCTGGTGCTAAGAAATGAGGAGCAGTTCCCTCAGTAAGGTGACTTGCATGTGACTAATGACAAATACTGGAGGGTCTGGCCCTGCACCTCTTCAGTAGAAATAAATGTAATTTTGTACAAATAGTCACATTCCTGTGCAACCACTGAATGTATTGCTTTGATCATTTGACAAAACGAACAGAGGCAGGTAATTAATTTTGGTTATTAGGTGTTTGCCCAGTATTCACAAGTAGGAGTGGATCATGGTTACTCTGCCTCTGGGGCTGTTTATTTGCATAATTTCCTTTGTTTGGTAACAATGTGTGATCCAGAGAGTCATATAATCCCTTTATGGTGGAATCTGTGTATTTACTAATACCCATGTACAGTTTGTGTGAATGTATTTGTGGCCAGTCTCTGCCCCCTGGCCCAGGTTGTGTTCCCATGCAGGACCAGTGGGCACCTGCCCATTTCAGGAGGAAGCAAGAGGCCTTGGCCAAATGTGGTGTGCTGGAGTCATGTGTTTCCCAAACTGCTCCAAATCTCAAGGCAATTTTCTCTGCTTTGCCCTTCAACATATGATTTATGTTAGTGAGTTGTGGAGTCAGTGTTTCCCTTGGTGAATTTTATTCTACAATGGGAGTTATTGATATGGAGAAGTGACAGAGGTCACAGACCAGAGTTTCTCGTGTGTAGCACTGCCACTCCTCCTCCCCTGGCTCCTCAGCATCAGGCATTAGGGACTGGCTGTTCTGTGAGCCTCAGGAAACATAGCAAAGCCACCAGCTCTTCTGAAACTTGCTACTAGGTCAAAGCAGCATCCTTAGAGGTTTATTTTTTCTTGGAGATGTACACATTAGGAGCTCCTCCAACAATTCCAGTGAGAGCAGAAACAGATAAATGTTAAGCTTCCTTTGCATTCCACAAGAGGTCCCAGCTGGTCTTTCTCTTCCAGCAGTAACCCTGGGGCAGAAAGCAATGCTTTTTATTTCCTCTCACACTCTGCAAAACAAAACCTTAATAAGGCTTGACACAGTTGTTCTTCTCCATATGTAGTTTGGGGGGTGTTCCCTAAAAATCTCTCTGGATGCAAGTTTGCCTGAGACAATCTAAACACTTCAGTTGAAATTCTATTCAAGGTTTTATCACAGGGCTTTGCATGTGGATGAATTTCAACCATAGTTTCTATTTCACCTGATTTTTATGGCCAGAAGGAACCAGTATAATCATCCTGGCTGAGTCTCATAAGCCAGAGGGTTTTGCTTAGTGATTGCTGCATGGATCTTGTGGTAGAGCTTGAACACATAGCTTAGGAAGGCATTCAATCTTGATTTAAAAACTGAAGTGAAAGGGAGTTTGTCCTGGATGGTTTTCTACCTACCCTGGCTTGTTCTTGCGGATCAATTGTCTGAGTCACAGAACTTAGGCTGTACAAGAAAAGGAAGTGAAAATTTAGTGGTGTTTCTCTTCACAACCTAAGCCTCACATGACACTAAAAATTGAGTTTGTTGAGATTTGCTTTTTGCAAATCCATATACAAGTAGTTTCAGAATTTCACAGAAACACACATTAAAAAGAGACTCCCAGAGAGCTGAAGCTTTTTCTTTAAAATATTTGTAGTGAGCTTCCCTCTGTGTTTTAATCATCATTTTTATGGCTGCTGAAGTGTTTATTTATGTACTTGGAGGCTTGATTCTGGGAGATAGAGAGGTTGGAAAAAGAAAAAAATATGCTGTTCGGCAAGCTAACAGAGAACTAAGAGCTGACAATTTACTTTCAAAGAAAAAATGAGAGTTGCATGTGCTGGGTCAATGTTGGCTGTGCTGCCTGATTGGACCTGTAGCCCTGTGTTGCTGTCCAGTCCCCGTGAGCTTGTCCTGGAAGTTTGCTGAATTCACTGCATTCACTTCTGTGTTGGTAAATGGGGTCCCAATATTCAGATTTCATGTCAGCCTGAGCTTGTTTGCTCAGTACAGGAGCACGTGGCACGAGCTGCACGGAGGTGACCTCAATCTGTGCTGGCCCCTTGGCAAGTGTTTTGGCAAGGAGCAGCTGCAGGCAACACCACCTTTTGCCTTCCTTGTTAAGTTGGACCATTGCAGGAGCTTTTCCTTTGGCATCAGGGAGTGCTGAAGGTTCCTTGAGAAACGTTCTGGCTCTGAGCCATGAGAACTCTACTGTGAGAGACAAGGACAAACAGAAGGCAGGGTACCAAAAAGTTATGTAACATCAGACAAGTCCAGGTTAAGGTCCTGTGATAATGAAATAATCATTGTTCATAGGAGCAATCATTTTCTTGGTTCTTTTTTTTTTGGTTTTGGTTTTTGTTTTGTTGTTGTGTGTGGGGATTTGTTTGTTTGTGGTTTTAAGTTTTTTTCTTTCATACTCTGTAAATGTCTTATCAAAGTTCAGAAAGGAAGTCTCTGCCAACAAGTGTGGGGAAGAAAATGTTATCAGCTGAAGGCCAAGTTAATAAATAGTTGCCTATTTAGTTAAGACTTTGCTTGTGGATGAGAAGAAGAATTGCACCAACAGTTGATTAGGCGTCAATATCTGTACCAGCCAATAAACCACTGGGAACTTTTAAATGGGGTAACTGGTATAGAACTGCCTATAAAAATGGGTGCTGTTTGATCTTAAGAAAACTTAACAAACCTTAAGAAACCAGGAGATGGTCAGGAGCACAAGTGTGTTTTACAGGTGCTGCTTGTCTCTCCTCTATTTTTTTGTCCAGATTTTACTAGATGAAAATTACTTTTGTACTGAAAAATGGAACACCTTTGGCTATCCAAACTTAAACTGAATTCAAGTGTTTCATTGTCCATAAATTAAAGCTTTCATCTTTTGCAGTTTTATCAATCACCTAAATATCCAATCTTTCAATGTTTAACTGATGTTTGGACTATAATGTTTCAGTGTCTTTAATGAGGAGCATTTTGTGTTATATAGGGAACTTGTTTTTAAAATGTTTTCATTTACTAATACAGTTGTTCTCTATACTTATATGAGAAAATATCTGAATCACCACATGATGCTAGGTAGTTTTTAATTATATGTAAATGCCAGTATAGTACATGCATACATAAGTACACAGTGAAGACTCTAAGAGAGTGAAACGTTAACCACAGCTGAGTGGTGAGAATGAGAACAGAACTCCTCATGTGGAAACAAGAAATGAGGGGGAAAAACCCTTCTTCTCTGCATTTCACTTCAGGATTGATGCATGTCCCAGCTTATGTAGGAAGGAGATTTCATTGCCTCGCCCAATGTCCACTGCTGGCAGGAGATCTCCTCGTGCTCCCCAGCAGCAGTGCCATTTTTGGCAGTGACTTTGCTGGGAATGTGTCTGTGCTGCATGAGCTGCAGCTCCTCTGCAGGTGCGACTCACTCTGACCCACTCCCACCACAGCCAGAGAGAGCTTCCTCAAGGCTCCAATCATTTCCATCTGGTAGAGGAAGGATGCATTTGACACAGGTGTCTGTTGGCCTTTCCAACTCTAAGTGGCCTCTCTCCAACTGGCTCAGTGATGGGACAATCCACAGAGGAAAGGGAAAACATCCCTGTGTGCACACTTCCTTTCAGAGCAAATCTTTATGCTGTGAAGAACCTAAGGCATTTCAGCACACTTTAGATTGGTTTTCTAGAGAAAAAGCTTGATGCAGGTATTTGCTGCCCATTTTATCTTAAGCAGTCTGGAAGAGATGGTTACTATATCCTTTAAACTCTTAACTCAATAGTCTCAGAACAGTGTCCTCTCTTTTTAAATTTTAAACTGAAGAGAACCCTGCATGCTCTAGCTTTGCTTCTCAAGTTTTGCCCTTTCATTTCTTTTTTTCCTAACAGGCACAAGCCTTAAGCACAGGTGGCTGCTGTGTTTTTTTAATTTCTGATGATAGCTATTGACCTGCCAACTGGGTATTCTCTTGGTAATAGTAAACAGGTTCCTAATGGCTAAACTTTCTTCCATTTAAATTCTGTAGTCCAAAAATAATCTAGTTTTTTATTAACCAGGGAACATATTATTAAACACATACATCATTTTTACCAGACTGTACCTCTGTAAACCTAAGTAGTTTTAAGTCAATGTTTCAGAGTTTTGTTGTTTTGATTTTCTTGCTTTTTTTTTTTTTTTTTATTATGGGATAGGCCTCCAAACAATAGAAATTAAAAAGTGAATTTTGTGATTTGTGTGTAAGTAGAAGGCCTGGGAGATTGAAGCTATACACAATTTTGACAGTGTGTTTGAAACTACATGAGAAAGAGTATCTGTCTGATGAGTAGCAGACTCCTTGCTGGTTATGACAGACTCAGAATCAATAGGTGATTTCAAGGAGTGTACTTCTCTGGATTATCTTGTTTTATATGACACCTAGTTTTTTGTTGNTTTTTTTTTTTTTTTCTTTCTATTTACATAACTTGTTTAAATTGTAAAAATCCATTATACTTTCTCAGCTATTAAAAGAAAGGGGAGACCTTCCTGGCATCAGCTGGATGACCCCTTGAGTTAACTGATTATGAAAATATCAGAGCTTTCTTATGCTAATGTGGTCTGGGCAGAACCCTTCTGGTACAGCCAAACCATATGGAATTTATATCTCAGTCAGTGCATGGGAAAACGAGATTATTTACTCCAGGATATGGTAATGCTCTCATTGACTCCCTGAATCTTTGTGAATGAGTGTGAATGCTCAGGGAATTGACAGGCTGCTATCACAGGCAGTGCAATCCAGCAGGCTCTGGTCAAGCTCTTGCACACGCTGCTCTGCCAAAGGACTTCAGCCTTCACCTACAACGTCCTTGTTTTTCCATTACTAAGACTTTCCCAAACATACAGAGCCAAAGGGACATATTAACACATGCCTGCATGCCAGAAGGCACAGCCTGTCTCTGTGAGCAGGAAACACGCTCCTTGTTTAACAATGGATGGAGCTCTCTGCCTTTGTTTTTCACCTGAGTTAATCTTGGCCGCCTTACTTGTATCATTTAGGTCACCTAATATGTTATGTAAGTGAACTGTAGCTGGCCAGCATCTCCAAATTTCCCTTTCCCACAATAATGGGAAAAGACAGCTTTAGTTTTTCTCTTCTTGCCTCATTTGGATGTCACATGGGTACAGTCCTGTCCTATTGTGCACTTCCAGAAAAGTCTGTGGGTTCGGCATTGATGATCCAACTCATCTGGACATCCTTTTTCCTGGCTAAAAATCCATGTGTTACTACAATCAGTAGCTTTTACCATTGGCATGACTGCTGCTTCTCTTCAGCAAAATTGTAATTTCCTTCTTTTTTGCCAAATATATTCCTACTCTGCCTTAATTGAGGCATATTTTTCTACCTTTCTACCTATCCAAACTAAAAAAAAAAAAAAAAAAAAAAAAAAAAAAAAAAAAAAAAAAAAAAAAAAAAAAAAAAAAGGGATTTTCTGGATTGCTCATATTGCTCATTTCTTGAAACAATCCATGACCACAAATGAGTAGTCTCAATGGAGAAGCAGGCAGAAAGCTCTGGAGGAGTTAGTGCTAAATGACATGAAGATCAAGTGGCCTAAATTTGGTCTGGGCCAAATTGTGATAGTGTAGGTTTTTCATTTATCTGATAATTATTAGTGAGAGAAGGTTGCTTACTCTGAAATATTTCATTATTTTTCTAGATAATTTTAATGTATTTGGAAAATTTTCTTTTTCTCCTTCAAGAGTTGTTTTTGAAAATCATAATGTTTTTGCCATTTATGATATACAGCCCCCTCTCAATGCATATAAAAGTTAATAAGTGTATTTCTGCTTTTTTTTAATATAAACACAATCTTCTAAATCCACATGAGCTTTTCTCATGAATAATGAAGACTGACCCCAATGGGTCAGAAGTAGAGGAGAGAGAAAACATGGACACAGTTGGTTCAGGGATGGGAGAGCGGTGCCAGAGAAGGAACTGCTGCAGAAACCTTTCCCTAGCCAGGTGTCCCTGTGGCAGGGCTCTTCCTCCTGGAGCCATCCTTCACATAACACAGATTTTCACTGCCTCTCTTGCAGGGGTCGTGCTGGGGGTGTCCCTCACAGCTGACTTGAGCAGAGCAAACACGGTGTTGGGTTGCATGGCTTCCACCTCTGCACTCAGTGTGGAATTTGGGAGCTCTGTGGGACACCCAGTGCTGCTTGTTAGCCTGGCCTCACATCTCAGCAGCAGCCTGGCCAAACCCCTGCTCTTCGTGCCTCTGCTGTGCCCCAGACACCACAGGCACAAGTAATTTTGGGTAAGTCTGTACTGAAGTTTGATTTAATAAATCCCTCTAATAAGTGCAACAAAGGAACAGAAAAGATCCCTTTGGTGGCTGAGCCAGCTTAAATGAGCAGAATGCTTTCTAATTAACAATCCAGTGGTTCATTTCACATGCTTGGCTTTCTATAAAGTGAAAAATACCTTTAAAGCATTCAAAGGCATCTTTGTTTTAAAGGAGCAGAGAAATACTGCTCCATCCACTGACCACCACCAGTGATCCTAAGGCCATGCAGCCCCAGGTCACTCTTGCAAAAAGGTTGCCAATATTTTCTCAGCAAACTCTCTATTGATTGCATAAATACAGTACAGTACCCATGAGGTAGTTTTGACCTGTCACATAGTAAAGATGTGGCAAGCCCCATAATTCATTACCAGTTGGAAATAGAACATCATTGGAGAGATAAGGATAACAATGACTTTCCATCCAATGATAAATTACTAGCAGCTGCATTATTTTCCCTCACTTATATATGGCTCTCTTTATTGAATTTAGCTTGAGATAAATAAATGATCTGCCAGGAGCCTGGTTAATATTACTTCTCTGGGACCCATTTCAGGCCCAACTAGGCTTTTGCTGATAATATCTTTAAGCTTTTCAGTAGGGAGAGACATAACATTTGTTTCTGACAAGAACCCTATGTCGCCTTATCTGTTTCATTTGAGAGGCCGTCGACCTCAGCTTCTTTAGTTAAAATGAGAGCTTTACTGTAGAGGCTAAGTTCTTGAACTTGACTCTCTCCTTACAATGAGATTATATGTCCTGGTTGTAAATTTGAAGCCATGCATGATATACAGTTATTCTTAGCATTTCCTGTTGATCACAGGGTGGTATTGATTGGTCCCTGCTTTTGAATCTTTCTCTGATTTGTTTGGGAAGGAATTCCACTTTTTTATTATTTTTCATCCCACAATAATATGTGAGCTTGTTGATGCACACTCATATTTAACTTCAGGCATTTGTTCCATTTGCAAATGACAGTGGATTTATTTCACAGCTTCTCCCTCCTCCTTCCACCTTAGGAAAGACATCATAAACATATCCACTTAGTTAAAAAGAAAAAAAGCCGAAGAACAAAAGATTAACTCTTTGTGTGAATCGAGATGCCAAAGAAGGCAGTTGAAGCCCCACAATTCTTTTTCTTACTGCTAGTAATTCCTGTATTGTGTCAGTGATCCTGATTTTACAGGTTCCATTGGAAAATTTGAAGCAGGGAGGGGATGGAGTGGAGGTGTGAGGCAGCAGGCGTGCTCAGCCTGTACTGCACTCCTCTAGTTACTGTTTGGATACCTCCATTGTGGTATTTTTGTTATTTCTGGGAAGTCCTATCATTGGGTTTTAGATTAAAATCAGACAACTGCCATTTTTCATGCAGTGTGAATTAGAGGAAATTAAACCCAACCACTTCTGATAAATCCTCTCATAAATAAACTGGCTGGTGGTGTTAGATATAAGTCCAGCCACAGTTTGATTCACGTTGTAGTGAACAAAGAACAAGTTCTGTCTATTTTAATGCTTCATCATCATTATTGTTATTTATACTACAGGAATGCCTGAAGGCTCCAGCTGAGTTTGGAGACCCCATGTGCTAAGTGCATAATCAGACTTGCCTGGAAGGACTTGCAATAGGAATAAGATAGAAAAAAAAAAGGAAGAAGAACTTTTCTGTGCCTTCTTTACAGTGAGGAAACTGAGGCTCAAGGAAGGAAAGCCATCAGCTCAAGGCAGCCAGGAAAGTCTTTGGCAAAGTGGCAACTTCCAAAAGATCTTCTGAGCTTCTGCCAAGTGCCTTGATGTAAGATCCTTTCCTACAGTCGTTTTGGGGGGTCACCTGTCTGCTTTATGCTTTCCCACTAGGCAAAAGTTAGAAGATAAAGTGGGAATATGACGATAAATCTCCTTTATCTGATGTTAGAAGAATTTGCGGTTAGAAAAAGAGGCACACCCTAAATAGCATTTGCATAGATTCATGTAAAAGAAGATATTATCTGTGTGCATTTTAATTTTAATTTGAACAATGTCTTGTCTTGAAATGAAATAAGGAAAATTTGCCTTTTTATATAATAGGAATAGTTTTGGCTTGTACCCTTGTCACATCAGAAAATAAAAAAAATCTTGTACAGTGCCCCTAAAAGGCAGAAAGGTTAATATTTATTAAATTAGAAAAATTGCGCAGTCATGTGACATGCAGTTGTAAGCTAGAACCCATTCTTATTTACCTTTGGAGATTGACAGGATCGTCTCACCAATAATTATTAGCTAAGCTCTTCATAAATTAATTTCACTTACAAACACAGGCAGCGGGGGAAAAAACCCAAAAAGGTGGTGGACATGAAATAAATTATTTGCTGCCGAAGAATGAGAATGCTTTTCCATTTCTGCTGTGCTGCCATTCCAATGTTTCCCTGAGTACCCAGAAAGCATCAGGGTGAGATTCACACTTGCACAAAGCCAAATTAAAGAGGCTTCATGCAGGGCTTTCCACAGAGGACTGAATTGACTTTGTGCCCCTGTGTATACTCAGTGTGTGAGCAGAGGGAGGGGAGGGGACTGCAGCAGTTGTAGCAGTCCCCAGAGGGAGCTGGGACATCTGTTCCAGGGGGTTCTGACCAGAGAGTCCAGTAGCTTTGTCACCAGGTTTCTTATTTCTGAGTGGTGATCCCTTTGGGCCTGGAGGTGCAGGGATTGCTTCTTGGAGGAATGAAGTCATCAAACATCCCTCACTTCTATCCAAACCATGTCATTGCAGCAGGGAAGGGTGATACATATCACTGGAAAAGTTTACTCCAGTGAATCATTCTTGCTAAGAGCCTGTGCAGTGGTAGGTAAATGCAGCCTCTCCTTTTTGTGAGCCTCAGAAGCTGAAGTCACTTGACCAATATGAAGGGAGGTTCAACTGGGAATAAAACTATTTTGGATTTGATTAATAGAACATTCCTCCTTTCCTAGCTAAGAAGGGAATGCTTTTTCCTGGCACATGGGTAGTGCCTGGATTCCATGTGGCATTCATCAGTACCATTTCTCTGTACTTTGTTCACTCTGCCATGGAGGACTCTTGATCCATAGTGCTGTTCCCACAGAAATGGTTTTTCTATACAAATCATACCTATTACTCAAAGTAGTTTCTTGATCTCCTATGAGGCTACCAGAGAATTTTATGTCAGTGAGCTGCTGGGAGGTTTTACAGCATGGCTGTCAGTACATATTTGACAAGGATTTTCTACAAACCCTGGCAGAGGAAGTGTAGCTTCTGTATCTACCTCCAAATCTGATTTGATTCAGTTGAACCACGAACTCTTTCTCTTTTGATGTTTTGTCAGTCTCCACTCTGACCACCTGTGTGCAGTGACACTGCAGTAACTCTCCTGCTGGTCACTAGATGCCACCTTTACAGCAATTAGGCCAATCTTAGGTGGTGATTTTTATACCTCCCATGGGAGTCACTACCTTTACAGCTGACTTACAGCAGCAGATCACACCAGTGCTCCGTGGTTCCTGCCAGTGCCAAGCGTGCAGATTTAACCTGTCTTGCTCAGTGGTGGTTCCAGAGTGGTGTGGTGTCAGTCACTTGCAGTGTTGCTCACAGGGACCTGGGCCAAGGCCAACAACTCAATTCTCATTATTGGCTGAGTAAGAAAAATGCCACTGGTGCTGACCTTGTCATAAATCCAAAGCCCCTGTCCCCACACCACCAGCTGTCCAGACCAACCTTTTAAGGACTGATTATATCTGTGTTCCAGTTGCTAAAATTGTTTGGTTCTTTAGTTATTTCAACTCTGTGGTCTCAGAGGAGCAAATTTCTCAATAATTTTGCCTTCTCATCCCCATTGTGAGCTGCGTGCCAGCAAGGTTGTCTTTAAATGAAAAAGCCCTGCCTTTTCCTCCTCGCGGTCGTACAGGTTAAACACGACTTCTCGCTTCTGTCATTCATCCTATTAAGAAAACCCTGGACTGCCAACGCACCCTCATTTGCCAGTTTCCAGGGGATGGCAAGCATTTATACCTGAATCATAAACCCTAAAGGAAGGGCCTTATCTGATGTGGTACACCAGGCTTAATGGGCTGGGCTGTGCAGCTGCAGCACCTTGGGTGAAAACTTCAGCAGTGCCTCTTAAAAACAGCCAGCTTGATGCTGCCTGCACGGTGCCGAGGGACACGGCTGTTCATGTTTACAGACCTTGCACTTCACTGCTGCAAGTGGTTCTTTGGTGGCAGGATCTAATTGAGCTGTATCCTAACCTGGTTGGATTCAGTTTGAAATTCCAGCTCTGCAGCAAGAGCAAATGAGGTTGGACCAGTTATCACCCTCTCTTGCCTCACTTGTAGGATGGAGACGCATTAATGTGTTGATGATGTAAGACTGAAGGAAGACTTTGCTTGTAGCCATTATTGCTGAACTAGTTGTTCTGATGATTTATCCAGAAAGCCCTAAGTGTCCTTATAAATGTAAAATTTCTCTTTTTTTTTTTTTTAATTCTTGAGCAGATGGAAGACTTAGATGGAAAGGAATAAAAAACATAATTTGCCGAGGCCCTCAATTAATCATAATCAAGTTTGTGCATGTTATACTCTACAAGGGTAACAACAATGAAACACAAGGAGAAAAGGATGCTTTCCTCAGGCAGTTCTGGAGACATAAAAGCAATAAAGAAGCATACTTCAGAATAATGTGGAGATATATGACTGCACTAAATAAAAATGCTTCTTTAACGTACTGTAAAAATAAAGATGTTTAGTTAGATTTATCATTCTTGTTACAAACACAAATTGATCCCTTGGACTATGCTACTGGCTCTGAAAGTATCTGAGGGATGGTTGCAGCCCACTATTTTCTGTAATTACTTCAACATTGTTTTATTTGCTAAAGAGCTAACTGGATTATTCCTTCTTTTCACTCCAAGGTTAATATATGGGGCACTTGATCATGCAGATATGGATTTTTGACTTTTACACTATATTCAAGCCATATTTTAATTTGGTATACTGAGAGGAATGGTTTGCTTATTATTTTCCATGAGTCACATCTAAACCTGTGAAAAGACATTTTTAAAACTAGTTCTACAAATAGCAACATGTGGTAATTGAAAGCCACCCCGCTCCCCAAATCCGCTCTTGATTGACTTGAGAACATTCAAAACCAGTGAGATTCGTTTCTGCAGCTTCATTCAACCATTGCAATGAGCAAATGAAACAATTGTTTTATTTGTAAGAGGAGATTATCCCTTGAAGGCAGATAGAAGGATACTGCCCACAGAACCCCATTTGCAGGCACAAAGAGCGCTTAGTCAATTTTTGGCAGTGATACTGAAGCTATTAGTTTTGGATATGAGTTCACTGATGTTCAGTACTGTAGATTTCCAGTTAGTTCATGAAGGGCCTTTAAAATTACACACAGAGCTTCATTAATTGCTTCAGAAAAGAAGCAACAAATATCAGGCCCTTAAAGTGTGTGTGCACAGAATGGCCATTGATTGCAGTGAATGTTCCCCACTGGAGAGCTGGTCCTGTGTCCTGGGAAGGCAATCACAGTTTGTACAGTGGTTGCATCAGCATTGCCTCAAAGTACAAGGGCTTCTGCAGGATCAGGCCCTGGTAGCTGTAATTTATTTTTTTTTTAATCTCTTTCATTTTCTTTCTTTAATTGTCTGTATACATGGTTTATATACATGTCCACACACATACATATAGATACATTCTTGATTCAGTGCATTAAAAGTTTAGCAGTGAGTGTGTTAAGTTAGAGGCCAATACAAGATGACAAAGTCAGGGTCCTTCAAAAGAAAAAAATAGAAATCCTGTTCTGTAGTCTTGAAGAGTTTGGGGTTTTTTTTCCATTTGATAGAATAGTGCCTGAACATTTGTTCTGCAATCAGCTATCCATAAAGGAGAATTTCCTATGCCTTCCTTGCAAACGGCACAACCTCATGTGATCCCTGATCACAACAAATTGATTTATTTAAATAAAAATAATGATCTTCTTTCTTTTCTCCAGCCCCAGCAGCAAAATCCCATGTAACCCCAATCAGCAAATTGATACAGTTATCTTCTTTTGCTCTCCTTTCTCCAACCCAAACAATACCACCCTGATCCCCAAGTAATAAGAAAATGATTTATGCAAACAAAAATAATTATCTTTCTTTGCTCTCCACCCTCTGACCGTATAATCTCAGAAGCTCCTTGTTTAACAAATTGATTTATTTAAATTAAACAAATAGTGATCTCCTTTTGACCTCTGTGGAGCACCTCTGTGGCAGACTCCTACCACTGCAACCACCTTACCCAGATGCTTAGGAGGATGTGTTTTAAAATATAACAGCACTTCAAACTAACCTTGATACTTTGTGGCTCCTCTAATCAAAGCTCATGGAAGTTCTGTTCCTGAGAAATGAAATTAGGATGTATCATCTGAAAATTAGAAATAAGTTAAATGTCACTGGACCATCACTGGCAAAACTTTCAAGGAGCAAGAGGCAGAGTCCTGCTTGTCAGAGGTTTCACTGACATGATCTTGTTCCATGTTTGATAGTCCTGAAGGTGTATAAATACATATATATGTACGTGTTAGCTGTGTATTTTTTTCCTGCGCTGGCTTTATTTAAATTTGTATTTTCTGTGCTGTCCAACCAATGTCTGTTTTCTGCAGCTGCTACTTAAACAGTCATTTGGGCATTATACAGAATTACATAATTATATGTGCCATAAGCAAAAGTGCAAATAGTCCCACTTAGCACCTAATCAGATGATATCTGTTGTGAAATGCTGGCAAAGAAGCCAATAGATATGACTTACTTTGCTATTAGCTCTGCTCCTTTGGTGTATGGGTTGCAGCTGGAATTTGGCAGAGTTGGAAGAGGGATTAAGTGATAGTGGGGGCCTGAGTGTATTGTCTACAGAAACATTCTTTCCTCCACCAGTTTCTGTGATGTGCAGTGCTCAGAGCAGGACAGTGGTGTTAACCAGCCTCCCAGATTTTGAAATACTTTGGTTTTTTGCAGTTCATTCACACTCTGTGTCTGCTTTGGTTTCAGACCCACAGTGCTCTCTGACAGAAGACAGTGACACGATAGGAGTGGTGACACAAGGCTCTTACTGTTACAGTCAATAATTGATTCTTGTGGATGGATTGTGACTCCCTAAAGGTTGCAAAGAGAGGTAAGAATGATTGGACAGCTTCAAAAACATTGGTTCCTTCCAAAGTCAGAAAGTTTTTACTCCCTTGCATCATTCTCCTTCACGGTTTAGCACTCTTTGGGACTCTTCGGAAATACATGAGAAAATCATTAAAAGAGATTGTTTTTATTAACCAGGCATTTTCTTGCTTAATTTTTGGGTAATTTTGAGTGTTTTTTTTTTTTTAATGTTCAACACTGAATTGGGAATCACCATGTGAAAAAGCTGATTGTGTCCATTTTTGTTATTGTCACAAAGTCTACATGGGAAATTCAGATGAAAAGGAAACTGCAGTTGCAGAAACTGCTTCAGTTGCAAAGTAGAAATATAGATACCTCTGAAGTTTTCAAATCCCATCTTTTTTATTTTGTTAATTTGAAATTTAATTTTTATTCTTCCAAAATCCAAATAATTGAGGTCTTTGCATGTGAACACCTTTGGAGATATGATCTCAAAACATACTTGGATATTAGTTTCAGAATATTCTATTTCAAAGTTAAGTCCTTCCCATGCATTTTAATTACCTTTACTCCTGACTTGCACAAGTAAAATGAGGTGAGACTCACGCTATAACATTATGCAAAATGCTCCCATAAAAAAAATATAATAATCTTGTTCTGAAATTATACCTGGACGATTATTAGAGCTGCAGCCTTTAAAAAATTCAGCCACTGTCTATTGTCTTGCCAGAGAGGCAAGTATTTCTACAGATGGCTTGGAATTAGTAGAACATGAAATAATGTCAATGGTACTGGTAAGAGGATTAACCAGTAGTTCTGATGGTATTGAACGGTTTGCAGAGACCATATTAAACAGCCACATCAGTCCACAGGTCAGCCCTGCAGTTCTTCAGCTAAGCAAACACAGATGTAGGACTCCCTTTCATGGCCATCATTTCATGCCTTTGACATATGTTAGGCTCTTGGGGCTCTGTGGCATATTTACAGCCTGAACATTAAAGATTCCTTTCTTTAGATCCTTAGTGGACACTGATGTCTAAGTCAGCAGCAAAAGGAAAAGCAGGAGCCCAGGACACTGGGGATGGACCCCAACAGCACGTATCAGTGAGGAATTAAGCTGCTAGGAAGTTCCCTGATGAAATCCTGGGGCTTTTTTCAGTTGCTGACAAAAATTCTTCTTGAAAATCCAGTCAGTTTTAAATCTCTTTTTCGCTCGGGTTGATCTTGTCTGTGTTTTGCCAAAGCTGCCTATGAAGTCGCAGTGGTTGAGTTTCACAGGGTGAGAGGGTTCAGCTCATGGCAGCACTGCCAGGCCTCTGTGCTTGTTCAAAGTTTCTGCAAATCTGCTGGGACTACAAATTGGCCAGAAGAAACGGAGGGAACAGTCTGTCTTACAATATTGCTGCTCCTTTTCTGTTCCAACAGAAGCTTTGGCTCTTCTTTATTATTTTCCTCAATTTTTTATTTCTCTGAAACTAGGAGTCAGAAATAAAAAAAAAAAATAAATAGTACAAATATGTGATGAACAGGTATCTTTTAGATATACAAAATACATACTTATATATGTCTAGTGAGAACAGGGTGGGACAGGTTCATCTTGTTCATCTGAATAGTTTTACCTGTCTCAATCCTGAAAACTTGTCAGTTTTCAGATAAAGATATAGGTGTAGAAATACCATGTTCAAAGAATTCCTGAATGTAAAGGTTGCTGACAAAGAATTTGTATGGAAAGAAGATAAATTGAGTGATAAAATACAGAGCTTTTGCTCAATAATTACTTAATATGGTGCAAATTTTAAGTGAAATTTCCAGGATACAGCTGCTCCACTTGTAGCCACTTCTTCCTGAAAGAGGAAATAAACACTCAGCCAGAGAGTGTAACAATGAATTACATTCAACCTAGAAGTGCTTTAGCATGTCTTCAAGAGCTGCTGCCTGCTTCAGTGATGGATTATAAATTTGCATGGAATCCCACAGGCATGACAAGGTATTTATGGAGTGTTCTGATTGCTTGGACACTCCCAACAAATATACAGTCAGAGCAGAAATCAGAGTATCACTGTCTCCCACTTTATTTATTTCTATTTAGCGAGTGCTGGAATATTACAAACCACCAAGCATAGCTGTAGCTGGAATATACTTTCCAAAGCTTATTTACAGTAGCTCTCACTCACAACGGTAATGGTAAATTACTCCATAAGTAGTTCCATTGATTTCAAGAGATCCATTAGAGAAATTCCACTCCTTGTACAGCTGAGTGTATCTCGCTTTGGTCCCATGGTTGAAATGAAGAAAGAGCTCCTTTACTGCTGTGTTCTTAAATGCATCAACAGTTTGAAAAAAGCCCTACACCAAACCCTCCTCCAAAAGCTCATAATACTGCAAAATACTGATGAGGCTGGAGGGATAAGGTTTTGCAATATTTTATTTCCTTGCAGAAGCAGTGATACATGTTCTTCAGTTATACATAGATGAATGTTCGTTCCATGTGCTGTTTTCAGCTGTGCACTTACACCAGCCCAAAATCCCAAAGAGGAAAGTAAAAGCTGAGATTCACATCAGTAGCAGAGAACATCAGGTGATGTTGATTTAAAGAAAACATTAATCAATCCAGATTTGCTTGGAACAGGGCCCAGGTTCACTCAACAGGTTGGTGAACCTTAGCAAATGTTTCTGTGAATCTGTTCTGTGTTTTGACTTTGTAACGTGATCTGAAATCATCTGAGTTTCATGTGGTTTTGTTGTGCACGTTTGGAACGCTCGTGGGGCGAATCCAGGGAAAGACAGAGGTGCTAAATTTTGCATGACGTGGTAAGGTAAGAAGTGTTTCACTCTTCCTGACACTCCCTGACACCAGAGTGAACAACAGTTGATGCTGTCAGCACAGTTTTAAAAGAGGAGACAATCACTGTCTGTCAGGCTCCTTGTGTCTCCAGGAGTCTTTATTTTGGAGCCAACAGACAGTCTTCAAATCATATCCTAAAAACCCTATCATGAGTTTTGGACTGTTATATTCCTTTTCTCTGTCTCTGGTAAATGTCAAAAGTTTTACTGCATAGGCAGGTACTGGAGTTGTGAACAGTATGTTATGTTTCTTGATGTATATTGGTTTGAAGAAGTTTTATAGTGCTTCTAAAAATTAGGTTTTTATGTTGAGTCTGTGGATGAACAACTTGTGTTTTAACTTTATGCAGTTTGTATCTGAATTCATAAAAAGGTGTACTCAGCCTCCATAGCTGGATATAAAGTATTTAAGATCCATCTACACCAATCAGGTAAAAAATATGATGAGGTGACACTTTCTATTAATTTTATTTTTAGTCCAAACTAGAGCCCAGAGCAATAAAGATGTGAGACACTCTGCACGAAAAACAAAATCTAATTCATCAGAGGATGCCAAATTTTTCATTCTGTTTCAGGGTGAGCAACAGAGTTTTGCTGGAGCTGAGATTTTGGAGACAAAGGCAGGTGGGAGGAGCTGTTTATTTTTTTACACTGATTCACTGCCTCATAATTGAGACATGTTTGTGGATCAGTGAGATGATAGGGAGCTTCGAGAAAAAGAGGCCAGTGAGTGTAGCTTAGTGGCCTGGCATATATACAAGGTCAGAGTACATAATTTAACTGTTTCTTCTGGCCTTAAACCTGAGAAAACTCAAAGAAAAAAATCAAAGTCTTCAGAGGTTGTAGGTGAGAAAAAAATGTAGCAGGCTGGGGTGTCCTTTAATGCCCCCTGAGTTCCTTGGCACATCAAGCAGACTGGGGTACAGCCACAGATGGAATGGTCCTGCCAGTCCATTCAGAAGTACATTAGGAAGGAAGAGCAGCTGCCAGTAATCTTCAGGTTTAAATTGATCTCTTTCTTCTCCTCTGGAAGAGTTCTGTTTGCACCCGCCTCATATCATTGCATTTTTCCACTAAGGTTGTCTCACTTATTTAACTTGACACAGGGAGCCCCCTCTGAGGTCTTTGAGATTCCAGCCAGCATTGGAAGTGACAGCCCAGATAAGGCAGGTAATCATATCAGACCTTGGGGGACCACACTGACTACTTTTTAATTGATAATTCCAAGTTTCTGTAATAAATTTATTTCTTAATTATATACATCATGTCATACATGGTAGCTAATGATTACCACTAGTTTAATTCTGCAGCCTTCAAGACATCCTTCTCCCTACCATATAATCATAATTTTCCTTCCAAATTAAGATTTCCTCAGAAAGAAAATGAACAAAACCTGCACATTAAATCCAATTCCTTCCAAATAAAATAAAATTAGGTAAATTTAAGATACTAAGTAAAAGAAAGTGATTTTAATTAGTGGATAATTTCAGGAAGATCATAAAACATTTAAATAACACTGAAGTTATGTATATTTAAGCAGTTTTATGGAGAATTAAAGTCTTAAATGGTAAATTTCAAATGTAAATACAAAAGTCGATGCAAGAATGTTAATTGCTTTTCCTAAGTTTCTCACATGGCCTAGATGTTATGGGAGGTATCCAGAATTACATTCATAGTAATAATGTGCCCAATTCAAAGCTTATTAAAGTCCTTGGAATTTTTCCATGGATTTTAGCAGTCATTGTATGAACACAACAAATGCTTTTCAATGTCTAACTTCCAGTACTGAGGAAGTCACTTATATATCAAAGTTATGTATGTGATGTCAGTATTCCTACATAATGGTAAATTTTTTGTTCAAAATTCCTTTTAATAGCCAAGAAATTTAAACTGACCTTGAGAACTTATCCAGTTACCTCTTTAACAAATCAAATTACATTTTTACAACAGACATTTTACACCAGCAGATTAGTTTATATAAAAGAAAATTTATACACCAGGAGAAGCTGCTACAATTAGACAACAAAAATGTGCCAACAAATTGAATTATCAAGAATGTAAATTCCCCCATGCCTATCTGTAGGTCAGCAATACTCTTACATTAGTTTTGACTTAAATAGATCAAATTAAAACTTAATTTTACAGTTTGATAATAATGAAATGCGTAAGGCTTGAAAA